ACTGCGAGCGAGATAACATGGACGCAGCAATGACGCAGACCTAGGCGTAGGACCATCTATACTCTCACTTGTAGAATCCAAACTTACTAACTCTTGTATGTAGAGAATTTACTGTAGTTTGGAAGATATTGAACTTCTTCCGGGACGTAGTTATATTCACGTAGTTATATTTTATTCCTGTCAAATCAATAGCAATTAAACAAATAAAAGAAATTCATAAAGCATTAATAATATACAAAAAACGAAAAAAAAAAAAATAACGTGCACATATCTGGCCATTGGACGTTAATGGTGCTTAATTAAGTATGAAAATATTTCACACACCCAAGACTGATCGACTCTTTACATTTTTCGCAAATGTAACACGTGTTCGTCTCAAATAATACTTGTAACAGCTTGGAGGATTTTTCAGTTCCATTTTCATAGGATAGCGACCTATGCAGGGCCGTGTTTATACTTTCGGAGGCCCCAGGCGCAACATCATCGAGGCCTCAAAAGAACAAGTCTGAATATTTCAGTTGATCAAATTCATACACAATTTTTTTTAAGTTTATTGAAAATAAAAATCGACATTTTCATAATAAAATAAAAATAACATTGGTATACATACAGAGTGTTTGTTTTATACGGAAATACGCGAATAACTTAAAAATAATGGCCCATATGGAAAAATGTTTCAAACAAAAGTTGCACAATGCCGAACGAGACATATTATACTGATATTTATTTTATTTTGCAATGACCTTGAAAAGCCCTGCAAAGGTCACGTTTATATTCTTAAATAGGACCCATATTTTTTCTATTGCATATTCTTATAGCCGACATCGAAACTTTTTCAAGACACTACTAATTTGTATACTTCGCTCAAACCGCTATAGAGATATTAAATTTTAAAGTTGATATACTGTCGGCAGTCAACATAAAATGTGTTGCTTCCATTTGCCAAAATATAATACCATTTGTTCAAATATTATTATTTAATAATCTAAATACATTTTCGTGTTCAGTATTACAACTGATAATAGGATACCTACCTTCGTTACATATTTATAGATTAACAGTAGGTAACACTACATAGGTAACAGACAAACTACTACAAAGTTACTAATAATCTTATACAGTCGACGAAAGATCAAACTAAAACACTTGAATTTATTTGATCAGTATTTTTTTTTTCAATCAATAACAAGTGTTTCTTAAAATGAATATTTTGGTTAGTATAAATAATTCATTGTCGGTATTAAATCGCATTTTGTCAGTACAATTTTGTTTATTTGATCGGTATTAATTTGATTTTTTAGTCATTTGTTTTTGGTCACTGATCATCTATTTAAAATACTGACAAATTATTATGTTTACTAATATTTTAATGAAAATTCTGACAGTTTTTGTATTAATCAATGTAATACTAACCACTTATATCACATACTGATATTGTATTTTAAATACCTTTTATTTAAAATACTGACTCAATAAATAACAGCCAAACTAAAAATAAAAAAATAAAAATATTTGCTTTTTACCCTCAGGTAATAGTATCAGGTCTATGCAAAAGTTCCCATCGTATTTTTTTGGGGAGAATGTGTATTTATTTTTCATTACATTTATAATTATTCGTCGTAAGAATACTAATAATATAATATTAACGCTGTAATAAATTAACTACAGCATTAACATAAATACCAACTGCGAAAATTTAAATAAGAAAAAAACAGAGCTGCCTGAGATACTATTTTTAATAGTAAATAGTGAATAATCCTATTTATTTTAAGGTATACATAAAATTTTTGAAAATGAAATATTTTATTTGATACCGTAATATTCTTTTCAAAGGAAACGGTACAGTTTCATCGATTTACAAACGATGGAAACTTTTTCACAGACCTAATAATATATTACAAAAAGAAACCACAGCTTTTAATCGTAAAATACAAAGAAGCATCTACAAATCAATCTGATGACGGAAAACTAAATGAAATTTAAACGAACATTCAGCAGTTTTCGTGAAACGGTAGAGTAATCAATACCATCCTGTGTATAAATGTGTATACCTATATATGCACATGACGAAAACTATACGTATGCCGGTGTAAGTTACAACGTATATGTTACAACGTACATTTCTATTTGTCCTGAAATCCTGGTAACATAGCTACAGAATTTTGAAATTGTTTTTCACCTTTCCCAAGAAGATTTTTCCAAAAGTCTTCTAGTACGGGGCAAACACACCTCCTGTATTGCAAACTTTCCTAATTCTTGATGAACCATACCTAGAACGCTGTACATAAGAATATGAAGGATATAAAATATGTTTTGGTCACATTGGAATTTCTCAGGTGAACCTACATACTTAGTGCTGAACAACAAATAATATCGTTGATTGCATTGCTTAAACACGACATTTAATATATTTATTAAGGGATAACGATATTTTTATAGTAATTAAGGGGTTATAGTTATTTAGAAGGATAAACTAAGTAATTCCATTTTCTTTGCATATCTAAAAAGTTTGAAGTTTCAGAATACATATACATCTTGATAATTGGTATCTTAAAAATAAATTAAATTACACAAGTTTCAATAAAACAGGTCTGTATAAGGTGCTTACGTATTCTGGAAGAAGAATTCTTTAAATCGGTGAACATCTTGGCATATGATGCTTAAATCGACTGACTTAGAGGAAAGGACAATGTTAAAAATATGCGAATTTTGGAAATCATTGGGATTGAAAAACTTTGCATGTTCTAAGGAATTGGGAAGTAATAATCATTTGTCCGGGAAGTAGTGGAAAAGTTATAAAAAATGTTAATAAATACCAGAATATAATGGTGAAGGATATATGTACTGTTAAAGGACAGTATCCCACATCAAGTCAAGCTGTTTTGAAGATCACTGTACCCCTGTGTCTTGACGTGCCCTATATTCGTTGGTGTAAGGAGGTTTGCTTGGCTACAGGGATATTTTTAAACGTTAATATCTAAAAAACGAAGCCTCAAGCGCAATTTTTTTATTCTTGATTTTCGCCTTATATCAACTTCTAGAATCACCTCTTAAATTTTCTATCAATAACTACCAAATATCCTATATACGCTAAAAATGAAGGAAAATTCGAAACAGAATTCTTTCTTCCCTGACATGTTATACAAGAATTGTAGCTAATACCGAATTGCCAAAAAATTCGCATATTTCATAAAATGATAATTTAATGTCACTCAATCATCATTATAAAAAACATTTTATATAATCTCAGCCTACAGCTGTATACATTTACTGTTACCATATTTACTCCCATTGTACACTGAATAATATTGTGTAGAGTTTAACAAGTGCCTTCGTACTTTTCTGTTGGCGCCTTTAATCTTAATTTAATCATTAATTTTATACTTTGCTCACCTCCATTTTAGTTTAATCGAACAAATTTTAAAACGATGCATCCAAAAGAAAAGATTTTGCGGCTACGATTGAATATTGCACACGTATGAAAGTTTGCTGCAGCGAAAGGGTAAACAACATATTCAACGAGAATGTGTTAAATAACTCACACAAAGCTCTCTGCAACACTCTTCTCCATGCGACACTGATCATCTCGATAAGACTCTCCCTTCTCTATACATAGAGTACACCAATCATCTTATGAGACCTTTTGTCATACGATCTGAAATACCGACAACGTACAAAACGATTGGTTTTGAAGCGCACTCTACGCTTAAGAACGGTTATTTTAAGAACTGCATCGCGCAAAATAATCGATATTGGCTGTGTGTACATTGTTACTGTGTTGTCAATAAATCCTTGGATCCCAAAACGCACATGTATGCGATTGAATCCATTCTGATTCATCCTAAGATTCGAAATTTTGTTTAAAATAACAAGTGTCAAGTGTTCTTGATTTCAATTCCTACCACTAATAGCGCTGTGATATAATACCAGTCCCAATTGATACAGTAGGATGATGGTAAAGGAATTCCCGAACTCTGGAGTCGTGTGACAAAAAATGCATTGGATGGTCTACTCTATATCTCGTCTGTGCTAACATCTTATGAAATTTTTTGTTCGAAGCCAAGAAAATCCTTATCATTTTTGTATTGCTACCAACGTTACCGATTGAGCATAGAATAAGATTACAACATTAGTAGTGGTTGGAATTGGAATTAAACGTAACTATAAGATTACAAATAAAAAAGTAACGTAATTGTATATTAGTAGATGATTCATCACATGCGCGTGTTCTACTGCTGCCAAAAGATCGTTAACCTACCCAAGCAATCTAATATATATATATAAAAGAGAATTTTTTACATCTGCCGACTTTACCATCTTTGATGGTTAGATTGTATGTAATTCCTAAACTCATCGCTTTATATCGTAGAGAGCATAACAAAAACTCTGATTTTTTACACGATCAGTACTTCAGAACGTTGGACACAAAAATACATTAAGGCCCAAGATCTATCTTGTACTTCGTCTGTGGTTCTACCCACCCAATCCAATAGTATGTATGTAAATATGTAGTAGCTTTGTGTGCAGATTTAACAAAAGAGGATTTCTACATCTCTCGACTATACTTTATCTTTGATTGTTTATATGATCGGTATTCCAGATCGTTGGACACGAAAATATATTAGGTGTTGGGTCTATTCTGTAGTGATACAACATAAGGCAATATCACATTGTTTTTTATAGAAAATAAAAAATTTTTCCTCTTTTCAGAATTACTTTTAATCATAGCAAAATTTCAGATTTAATTACTACTGAACTTAAATTTTCAAATAAGGAAAAAGTACAATCATTTAAAGAGAATCTCGTCTATTTCTGACTAATCTATGATTATTTATGCTCTATCGATAAAAACAGAACGATGTACACAATGAATACTTTTCGATTTCACCGCTACGTGGCGTACACATAAAAGAATTCTATGTAAGATTGCGAATCTTTTAATACGCCATTTTAAAGTGCAGTATCATCAGCGCACCGTAGAACATAAATTAACCGCGTGTTGAAATTTAATATATTTATCAAAACAAGAAGGTGTGTTTAAAGAACGAAATATGTCAGGCGGAGCGCTTTTTGGAAATAATGCTTCTCGCGGTACTCCTAAAAATTTAGTTGAGTTCAAAGCAGGAAAAATGACCATGAAGGGAAAAATGGTATATCCAGATATTCGAAAGGGCCAGCTTTACGTTTATCAATCTGACGATTCATTAATGCACTTCTGTTGGAAAGATCGCGTATCAGGATACGTTGAAGATGTATGAATTCTTCTTTACTATTTTTAATATTTATTAAAGTTTTAAAATGGTACAAAATTTTATTGTTTGTCAAATTTATTTTTCTTAATTTATTTTTCCTGATGATTGTGAATTTAAACATGTTCCTCAATGTAAAACTGGGAGAGTATACCTTTTAAGATTCAAGTCATCCAACAAAAAATTTTTCGTTTGGCTACAGGTAAGATAAAGTACTATTAAAAATCATATATTCACTCACATTTCATATAATTTATACTGTAGAGGATAGTAAACTTTATAAATATTATAAATGTCTTAAACATGTAATAGAAAGACTAAAATTTTAGTGGTAGTGAATTTTTTGTTACATTTTTTACTTTTTAATCAATTTATTAAAAAATGTCACACATGTGCACATGTATATATGTGTGATATTTTTAGTTTTTTTGTCTATCATACTTTCAATTCTATTTAAAGCTTATTTTGAATTTCATTCAATGTTGTATTATGAGTGATTCAAAGTAATGTGCTATGCAAATTCAAAAATTTAATATTTTTTCAGACAAAATGAAATTAAAAAATACATATATTCTTCCATAAATTTCTTATGAATTCTTTGAATTTTGTTCTTTTATCTTCTTGCAAAATTTATAATTATTTAACCAGGAGAACATTAAATATTTATTCATCTCTAAGAAAACATTCAAAGAGGTTTAATTATGTCATACCCTTTTATAATATTCATATTTAGAATATTTCATTTATACTAGAAATTTTGCTACAAAAACATGTAGATACTTGTATGGTGGTATTAACAGTATATAAAAAAGTTCCATTTTATTTAAAAATTATATGTTGATAGTAACAAAATATAGTATTAATTGCAAAATATTGTGCATAATAAAACAGGACACTAATGTAAAGTACATAATACAGTAATATAATTACTAATGCATATTATTTAAAACATGTATTTTGGAAACAGCATTAATTTTGTATTCAATATGAAATATATTTGAGATCTATAAAATATGAAGAAATATTTTGATAATAAACTAATACTTTATGCTTCTGTAGGATCTTAAAACAGACAAAGATGAAGAATATTGTAGAAAAATTAATGAAGTTCTTAATAATCCACCAACTCCTGGGTCACAGAGAAGTGGCAGTACAAACACAGAAGGAGATCTCCAAAATTTGTTAAATAATATGTCACAACAGCAGCTAATGCAGTTGTTTGGTGTGGGTCAAATTGGTTTAAGTTCCTTGTTGAGTACAATGAATAGACCTCAAGGTGCACAAAGTACTAGAGCTTCTACAACAATTGCATCAACTCGTGTTACTACCAATGCTTCGAAACCTGTAACAGAGATGGTGTCTTCAGCAGCATCTACTAATGATACTCCAAAACCTAATGGTAAGAATATCTATTACATACATAACATATACTAATTTATATAAATCTTAATCTAGGTGACAATAAACCATCAACACGAACACCAGGTACTTCCACACCTGGAATCACAACAAATACAAATAACAAAA